TGCAAGCATTGGCGTACCACAGTGTGACTGTCCGCTTGAGCATACCTGCTGGATCGGGAAATCATTTCCGGGGGATCCTCAAGTTCTTTAGTTGCGGTGCTCTGTCTTGTATTCGTGGCGGGTTAGACCTTACCTTGCGGACCGCGGTATTCCTTCTCTAGACCTCTTTTGTAGGCCCTTTCCTGCATATGGTTTTGCAGGTACATTCTTTGGAACTTTCGGTGCAGATTTGCTCAAAGGCTCTTCAGTCCTTGGCATGCGAAGTACTACATCTTTGGTGTGATGGGCGATTACATTATTCCCTCTTCTAACTGGGTGCATCACCGTGAAAGGTCTATCCGGGGCGACTAATATACGCCCCTAAGTAAGATCCTCGATGCCGGAAGCTCGTTGTAGCTGTAGATCTCTTATATTTGTGTTTGGAAACACCACTAAGAGAGGTCTTGGACCACGTGAGCCTTCCCCTTTCCACAGGCCAATTCTATGACACTTGGTGTATGGGGTGTTCGGGGGCAACCCTGTTAGCCTAAACATGTTTTGCTCATCGCGATGTTTAGCTTCGCGCTTCGGCTTCATCATGTTTATAACTGGCTCTGCGCAATTATGCAGGAGCAAGTTCTTATTCCTTCCTAAAGAGACTTCCCTGCTCTTTTTTAGCAATTCGAGCTCTCTCTACAACTACTCAATCCGTTGAACCATTTCCCGGTAGTTGGGCTGAACCTCAGGTTTACCCACAGTCTTCTTGGCTTATAAAGGCCTCATGGTCTGTGGTTCAACCTCTCTGTTTCGGTTTTCTCCTTCTCTTATTTGTGCACTTTTATTTGAGGATGGCGCAGAAATAATCCTTTTTGGTTTCTATTTGTTTTCCTTATTCAGGGGAGTTTTTAATATCATCAAAACGGTCGATTGCGTGTCATACGATCGTCACACCTCATTCATTGATCAAGCTTTGCAGGATCGACATTGTTAGGTAGCTTTGCTGCCGTCCGGTTCAGTACCACGCCTGACCTGGCGGGGCCTTATGTAGTTCACTATTCCAAGTCCCGGGGTTTGGGTTACCGGTTTCCATCACTCAACAGCAGGTCTTCTTGAATATGAGGTTCGCCCTATCTTCTTCCCCTAAAGCGGCGTGACTAAAGTTTGTGCTAAAAAGCTACGGGTTTCGGCTAAAGGATTATGGGTCGAGGCTAAATGACTGCGTGTTTGGCTATAGCTTGATGAGAAAAGGTGTAATTCATCTAAGGAGTTAGGCGCTAAATTGTGTGCTAGTGAGAAAAGCTTTTCGAACTGGCTTCTTCTGACAGAACTTCCGACCGAGAGATAGGGCTTATCTAAGAATGGGGTTTACTTTCATGGTATGTCTAACGGGGTTATAAATCATTTCTGGTTTTTCTCATGTTTCAATGCGTTTAACCCAGTATTTATAAGAATTTGTCAACATTTGCAACTGAACAATTTAATGGTCTTTGGGCATTTAATGGCATGCTAATTTGTTGTTTGACCACGTTGGATTTGTTCGCTGTTGCATCACTGGTTCATTACGTAATTAAGGTGGATTATAGATTTCCTTTAACGCGGGCAATTTTCAGTTTGGTGTACATTCCTTATTTTCCGTTTTCGTCTTTCTCTGTCACTTTCAGAACACTTCCTGGGATTGTGATAACGGCCACAATTGTGATCTGGTGTGCTTTTTCCGCGAGTAAACTCTTTGTTCGCGCCTTAGACATGCAGCATCAACGGATCCTAGTTGCCTATCCATGCGCCTTGGTCTACAGCGTATTTGCCCTGCTTGTTGTATTTTAGCTCGGCTTTCGTCTTTCATTGATTTTCATCCGTACCTGGACAAATGGAGGACACGTGCACACATCTCAAAAGCAAAAGCAAAATTTCTCCGCTCACTTCCTTCAACCGAGCTCTAAAACCTGATGAACTTCATGTTGGTCTCCTTTGAGGACTAATTCAAACCATCTGTTTCGTCAACACCTACGCGACGCGAATGCAAGCGTCTTGGTTGCGTTTTTTATTGACCACCAAGTAAAAGCATTTGGTCAATTTGTAGTTTTTTGTTTTTGTACTGACACCAAAGTCCATACTTATTGCGTCAATCAATCAGTATTGAAGACCGTTCCATTCACCTGCTTTCACCGTTTCCNCCCCCCCCCCCCATGCTTACTGGAATGGATTTATTGTTTAGGCTACATCAAGGCATACATTCAGTGATCTGCACTAGCGCATAAAGTTCTGTCTTAAGGACTACGTGCAGCTGTCGGCTGAACTTTCATGCATTTAAGCTATTGAAGTATATTACCGGGGTATGTGGATCTGCAACTGATGCACACGGTTTGTGAAAAGTGCAGCAAAATCACCGTAGTCGAAGATGGCTGATTCCGTGTCACCCGCCTTCACCTAGGAAATGTAGAGTGCAATGTGAGGCCAGCTCTGCTGGTATGGCCTGGAAAATAGTGTGGAGAATTCATCTGAAACCTAAGACGATCAGAGGTGATGTTTCCATTGAATGGTGGGTGGTTGTGGCGCAGTGCTCTAGTCGTTGTCACCGCCGTGCTCTGGACCCTATGGTCTGAGGTTCGAACTCTGCCACTGCCACCCCAAATTTGGTGGTAGGCAGCTTTGCTGTTGTCCGGATCAGTACCAAGCGTAACCTAGTGGGGCCTTATGTGGCTCGCCACTTCAAGTCCCGGGGAATAGGTTGTCGGTTTCCATCACTGAGCAGCAGGTCTTCGTGACTATGGGGTTCACCCCGTCCGCTGTTTATCACAGAAATCTGTGTAATAAAAAATAAAACCGAGGTTGCTCTGTGCTACCTATACAATTTTAAATCGGTAGTGAAAATGCCAGGCCGTCGTGTTGGCTACCGGGTGATACGTGGTTGTATTGGCTTTCTCGCTTTAACAACTGCACGGAAACGCCCTTTGCTTGCAAACCTCTGTCGCTTATGAAGAATAATAAGTAACACCATTTCGCTACCTAGCTCTCTACGAAAACTTTGGTCACTGCTTCACTGAATGCTGAATATAACGGTTTGACTGCCAACCACCGGGTGGAATGATCTATGCAGGTGACCACAAAGTCTTTTGATGGTATCAGTGATTCAGTTAAGTTATTGTGAATGTGATACAATGTTCGTCAACCTAATAAGGTCCTAACATTTCGGTGGATCTTACTATGCTGATTGGACAGACAATGCTAAGACAATTTGAGAATGTTTCTTCATGTTGTGCCTACCAAAGCTGTTTGTGATAAGTTTCACTGATGCCTGGATACCTGAATACAACTTGTAAAGTGTGCTGAAAACCTTTTATGTGAGCTATCGAAACCACAGATTCCGTGCCACCTAACGGAGCATTACAGAATAGACCGACTGCACAGCCGCCGTGAGTCGCTTATCGCACGTGGATAGTGATGTGGGTGCTATGACCCTCCAGAAGGGTACCTGTGAGTGATGACTTAATTGCGTGTGGTAACACAGGAGTCTATGGTGACCGTTAAGACTCTTTCTTGTTGGATTCGGACGCAAATCGTTTGGATTCCTCAGTCGAAGGTGCTGTAACTTTTTCCTTCACCATGTTCTCGCTGGTTGCGTGAAACTGACGCGATGACTGAGAAAAGGAATACTAGAGAAACTGAAGACATTTTATGCACTTCCTGAGGCACCATGTTATGACAAACAGTCACAGAATGCTCGGAGGTGCGCCAGATGTTCCTCTTGTGACGAACTAGAGACTGAACTGTCGTCGAGGCAGCCGTTAATGAATCGCTGTAGGGGGTGGGTGTTGTTGCTTTANTTGCTTTAACTGGAGGACATTTACATCAACCAAACCATTAGGCAAGGTGTTACCACGGCCGACTTTTGTGTCAGTCCGTACCTGATTGTGAGCCCGAAGTAGGTCAACGCGGTAGAATAGTGTCGTATTTGCCAAGTTGGATAATACGTCCAGACTATCTGTTAAAGTACGTATTGTGGTGAATCTAGCCATAGTCCCCACGCGAGCGTCAGTCAATTGATGACGTCTTGGGAACCATGTGAATAGCAGTGGGTGTATGATGTCCGTTTTTGCAGAGACTGGCCGTTCATCAAGGAAAAGTACCCCGTGATTGCGTCTGATAGGCAGAGTATTGGGTCTGTTAAAATTTGTTGGAAAACCTGCGAAAATCCTTGTGGTAACTGGATCCTTAATTTGACCCATTCGGAGTGCGTGATTTATTCGTTGTTCTACAAGGTGTTCATCAGGTATGTCAGAAGGACTGGGCAATGGTAAAAAGCCGCCTAAACCTATA